ATAGTTCCTCAATTTCACATTTGAGTTCTTTCAGAATTCTTGGGTGAATTCCATCTGGTCCCAGTTACGTGTTACTGTTAAATTTATCAATTTGTTCCAAAACCTCCTCTAATGACACTTCAATCTGGGACAATTCCTCAGATTGGACACCTAAAAATAATAGCTTAGGTTTAGGGAATCTCCCTATTATCCTCAGCCGTTAAGACTGAAGCATTTAGCTTCTCTGCAATTACTTTATCATCTTTGAGTGCTCCTTTAGCAATTTGTCCAAGAGCCCCACTGGTTGTTTGTCAGGCTTCCTGCTTCTGATATACTTAAACATTTTGCTATTGCTTTTTGAGTTTTTGGCTAGCTGGTCTTCATACTCCTTTTTGGCTTATTATATTTTTACACTTAATTTAACAAAGTTTATGCTCCTTTCTATTTTCCTCACTAAGATGTGACTTCCATTTTTTAAAAGATGTCTTTTTTTTTGATCTGTCACTGCTTCTTTTACTTGGTTGTTAAGCCACCGTAGCCCTTTTTTGGTTCTCTTATTGTGTTTTTTAATTTGGGGTATACATTGAAGTTGGGTCTCTATTAGGGTGTCTTTGGAAAGTTTCCATGCAGCTTGCAGATATTTTACTTTTGTCACTGTACCTTTTAATTTCTGTTTAACTAACCTCATTTTTGTGTAGTTCCCCCTTCTGCTATTAAATGCCACAATGTTGGGCTGCTGAGGTGTTTTTCTCACCACAGGGATGTTAAACTTCAGTGTTCTGTTCAGTCTAGTTTTAAACGAGTATGCTACTGAGCTATGGCTAAACTACGGGGTTTTTGCGGGATACCAGAGGTACCACCGCGTCCGAGGAATGCATTTGCTTGTCCGCATTTTTTTGCGGAAGAGAAAACGTGCTCTTTCGGGGAGCCCTATATACCTCATTTTATGAGGCATAGGGCTCCTCTGAAAGAGGAGGCTTTTCCGCCATTTTCTAGGAGGCCCAGACTAGATGAGGCCAAATGGCAGAAAAGCCTCTTCCAGAAAGAAAAAAAAAAAAAGGCAGGAAAAGCTCTGCAAAATGTGGAGCGCATTTTGCGTAGCTTTTTCTGCAAAAACGTTGCAGTCTAGACTTACCCTGAGACCTTCAACCAATCCTCTTAAGGGTCTTTCTCCTTGACTAACCCACATTAGCTAACTCAGGTTAAAATAGCAACGTGGACAAGGCAACTTAATTTTTTACTGGGATTAGTAGCTTGATAGCAATTCCATACTCCTTTCATAGCTTTAACTGGAGCTGCTATCCCAAGTTAAAAACATATCGTCACTGCTCATTTAACCCAAGCTAGCTAATCTAAGAACAGACTGTTTTTTCCCCATTCAGTATAGACATATCCATATCAGTGTCCATGGGGACAACATAGAAAGTATGCTTCTGGTTTATTGAGTATGTGTGGTAGCACCAAGTGGTTAAATGACAGTTAGTAAAGGATACAGTCCTGAGTATTCCAAGTGCTGATAGAAAAATGTTTTTCTCCAGCTCTTTAAATGGACTCCGTCTTGATCAAGTGATAACTCAATATATTTACATTACTGATATTTAATCTCCCTGTCAACATACAGCGGGCCACTGAAATTTGCCCAAACCAGGAAGAAGAGATTGCACGTTATCATGACAGGTCAATGTTAATTTCTGTGAGAGAAGTTTTTGGGGAAGTGGTTTGGCTGACGTGTGGAACTTTATAGGAACATACTGTATACAAACTCCAAGGAACAGAACCCCTGCAGGGACTGTAATGTGAACCCATTTAACCCTAGAGCACAATCCAGATTCCAGACAGGAAATAGTTTCCTATATTACAACATAGATATGGGAAATTAGGAATTTTTTTTCTCTTGGGTTGTTTAAATGTACATGGTTTACACCAGTTTATTCCCTGCTGCTTTCCAAAGGCATTAGTATTGCCTTCCAGCATGAACACAGGCAACATTAGCTGTCTGACTGATAGCAGTTCTGAATTTGTTCTGTTTCCTAATATGCTCACTTGAATGAGTGTGCACATGTGGGAGGGGAATGGCAGGAGAAGGGTGTAAATCAGACTGGGGCAAAAAACCTACCAGAGCATTATTAGATTTGATTAAAAAAAAAAAAGTTATACACCAAAATATTTTGTCTTGACAAGCATTTTTTTATTTTGAATTTTTTTCTAAGCAGAAACACACAAGAAACTTGGTTTCAAATTAGTATTTCAAAATGAAATGAATATTTTTGTTTCAGTTTGACCTAAAATGTCTCAGTGGTGGAGAGGGAAGCGAAAAGGCAGGAAGAAGAGCATAAAACGGGCTATCGAAATGGGATGAGACACCCTTTCCTCCAAACTCTCAAATCTGAAAATGGAAGAGGAGCACAATTCTTCCATCAGAAATTTATGAAAAGAAATAAAATGAAACTTTTCTTTTCAGTTCTCAACAAAAATTCCCATACAAAACCTGCTGTCTTTCAACAAAAACAGTTCAAAGCTGGTCTGGTTTTCCCCTTCCCTATGGGTATGTCTACACTACAGCGTTATTTCAAAATATCTTATTTCGAAATAATTATTTTGGAATTGCTTATTTTGAAATAATGCATCTAGACACAAAACACATTTCAAAATAGCTGATAGGACACTGATAGGACACTGAATCGCATTTAAGGCCAGTTCTGGCAGGATATTAGGTCAGGAGTTACCTTGTGTGGCTGCTGCCTGAGGCTATCTGAGACCTATGCTTAAAGGGAACCCCCCCTCTCCCCCTAAGACAGCTGGTTCTAAGGTTGCTTGCCTACCTCACTGAGGGACGGCAAAGCATTTTTTTCTCTGCGTGCTCTTGTTGCCCTCACTCAGGACACCACAGCACTCTGCAAAATGGAGCCGCAGCCGCCCCTGGGCACTCTGCTGCTTCTCCTGGACATGTTTCTGTGAGCCTGGCAGCACATTCTGCAGGTAGTAACAGTCTCCCTGGTGTTCCTCACTGAGGGCTCATACCCCATTCCTCCCTCACATCCTTCCACTTGTACCTGTCCTGGCTCCACTGAGATCAATGGGGGCTTTTTTCCATTGACTTCAAAGGGAGCAGAATTGGACCCGGGGGAGCCCTTTTAAGTGTGCAGTGTAGCATAGAAGGAGTCTGTAACTGAGAACTAAACCAAAGGCATTGACGCCGCCCAGGCAGGGGGCAGAGGAGCAAAGAGCGAAGATCTAGGCAGCAGTAAAGTTCTGGAGATCTTTGAAGATGAAGAGCCTGCATTGGAGAGAGGAGGGGGCTTGGAGAAGGGAGAGTAGAGCTGTGCTGTGGAAGGAGTCACAGGCAGAAAGGCAAGAGATGAGGGGATGTTTGGCGGCTGGATTTGGGGAGAAGCAGGATGGAGAGAAGGAGTGGGAGGAGGAGCGGTAGCTGGGGAGGCAGCAGGGGCTGGAGCAGCAGGAGGCAGCAAGCTCTGCCCCAGGGTCGATGACCACCTGGGGGGCACGGACCGTCCTGCCCCCCAGAATGTGATCCACAGCATCAAAATAGGGGTTGGGGGCTGGGTCTGCCCTTGGTTGGGAGCTGCCCCCTGTGGCCCTGGCATACACCTACCGCAGCGCTTTTATTTTCATGCGAATCTGCTCATGGGTTCACAGGTGGCCTTTGGTGGCCAGGCTGCAGCCATCCGCCTGTAGATGGTTGCGTTCCTCTGTTTAGTGAGGAGATCATGAACGTTGGAGGCATCCCCCCAAACCTGAATTAGGTCCCTGATCTCCGCACTGGACCAGGCAGGCACCCACCTTTTCTGGCCTCTGGCAGGCTCCTGGGAGCTGGCAGACTGGTCCTGGGGAGTGGTGGAGGGCTGGCTGGCACTGGCTGCCTGGCTCATGCTGGGGCCACTGGGTCAGGTGCAGTGACTGCTGGCTCTGGGCTGGCAGGCTTGGAGCTGGCACAGGCACTGTGGCCAGAATCTACCCCTTTAAGGACTTCGAGGGGGAAAGGGAGAAGAGTTTTCTTGGTTGTGCCCAGAGTGACCACCAGGCACCCTGGGAAGGGCTGGAGGCCCCCTATTTCGAAATAAGCATTTACACAGTGCTTTTTTTCAAAATAGCATTTTCAAAATGGGCGCTGTTCCTCGTGGAATGAAGTTTACCGATTTCGAAATAAGCCCTCCGCTGTTTCGATTTAATTTTGAAATAGAGGTTTGGATGTGTAGACGCTGGTAAAGTTATTTCAAAATAACTTTGCTGTGTAGACATACCCAGTGAGAAATATTTTCTCTGGAAAACTGTTGATTTTGTGACCAGCACTATTATCCAACAAACTAATACAGTACAATTACTGGTGTGGTAACTCTGCCTTTTTGTAAGGTTTTCTACCCTCTTTCCACAGATGTAAATGACATCCCAGGGAGCAAGTGGAGAATCAGGCCCTGTATTTTCATAATAAGTAATTTTATTCAGGAGAGTTATGGATGTCCAGGCTAAAGGCTGGCCTTCACTTCAGAGGTAGAAAACAGAGCCCATTCATACTCTAGAGCAGTTTTCCTTCTTGGCACAGAAAGATTTGTTTTAAGATCCGTTTATACATCTCTGCTTTCCAGTCAAATTGTGCACAAACAGTCCTCAGATATATTAGTCTGATGTGATTTGAATATACAGCATTATGGACACATGTACAATACTGTCCTTGATCTACCATAAAATCTCCTCCTGATGTTTTTGGGATATGAGAAATGTTTTATAAGTCCTTTACTTTCTAAGTGGAGAAAATACTTTTTGTGTCTGTTTGAAGATGACTAGCCTTTCTATGAAGAAGTGGGTGCATGTGTGTGAATTCTAGCTTTGGTTGCCAAAAAGTTGATGATGTGATATTTACATGTGATTTTTTTTAAATGTATATAGATGCCCAGCCACACTGAGCACAGCATAAGGACCTCAATAGACTTAAGAAGAAGAATATGCACAAGATGCCTATGGATTTTAGTAACTGATGGGTTTCTTTTCTGTTTGCTTTCTAGAGTATTCGGTCTAAAGTGGAACTAACTGTATGGGACAATCCTGAGGATGTCAGCCTAACCTTCACAGCTACGTGCCAAGATGGCTTGTTGTATCCTGGAGTCAGGAAGTGTGCAGATCTCCAAATAGGAGACACAGTAAGCTTGATTTTTGCATCTCCATTTGATGGGTTGTTATGATGCCCTGTGATCTTGGGGGAGTCACTTCACTCTTCTTTGCCTAATAGTTACCTGTGTTGAGGGTATAATACTCATTTAGCTTCCTCCTGTGGCCAACATTTGCAGGTCTAGTTAATGTTGATGATCTTAATGTCTTCTGATGATGGCACCAGAAAAGTGCTAAGAGCTGGTGGTCTTGTGAGAAGTAAATCTGTTTGATCAGCGCTGATCTTGGAATGAGGGAAAACAGGTGTCCTGTTTTCAGTCACATGCGTGGAGTTTTCTTGATCAATCTGTGGACTATGAAAGGCAGGAATAGACTCTGATCCCAGTCATGTGTGTCAGCTTCTTTCCTATTTCCTTTATTTTCTCAAAATTCTCTAACCAGTCCTTTAAGTATTATACATGTTCTTATAATCATGTCTGAGATTTCCTGCATCTCCCAAAACATATTCGCCTACCAGTATTCCATTTCAGTAACCTTCTCTATGGTATTTCCAGAAGTGAGAAATGTACAAAAAGCAAATCACGCTTGCATAGTAGCACTATTCTGTCATTTGGTGAGTCTGAGATATAACTCAAGACTATAGCATAGGGTAAAAACACAGCTTGCCCCTAATGTTAATACTATCCCATATTGGAATCTCTTCTGCTATAATTCATAAACAGGAAAGTTGAGTTCTGAATTTTGTAAAGTTGCATGTTTGTAAGATAAATTAATTGATCTGCTATGTTAAGTCTGTTTGCAGCACGACTGGGCGTATAAGACGACCCCCTAATTTTCCAGTTAAAACATAGGTTTTGGCCTATACTCGCCGTATAAGACTACCCTCCCCTTCTGAGGCAACACCATTTAATAACATCAGATTTGATTTAAATCATTTTAATTAAAATGGTTTTGACTTGCAGGTACTTAAAATCCTTCAAAATCCTCATCATGTTCATCCTCTGACATCATAAGTTCATCAATGACATCTTGTGGTACATTTGTAAGACAGTCATCATATGGATCTAATTCCGAATCGGATGGTGTGGCTTCAGCTTTGGCTTCCCCTTCATCTTGCCACAAGAAGTCGTCCTCCATACCATCCAAAGAATTTGATATGCCACACTTCTTGAAAGACTTGATTACTGTTTCTGCACCAATATCATTCCAGGCTTTTATGACAAAGTTACACAAAACATCCAATTGTGGCGCACGCATGTTTCCTCCTTTTGTGAATGACTTTTCGCCACTAACCATCCACTCATTCCACTGTTCTCGAATGCGATCTTTAAATGACTTGTTTAGGCACACATCCAGTGGCTGTACCAATGATGTCAATCCTGCAGGAATAACTGCCGCATCTGTGTTTATTCTTGCCAGCCTTTTCTTTGTGCTGGTAGTTAAATGAGCCCTGAACATATCCCACACCAGTAGGCTACGTTCTTGACGAAGTCCACCTGGTCGCCTACTCCATACATTATCAAGCCATAGCTTTACCCCTTCTTCATCCATCCAGCCTTTTTCATTCACATGTACAAAAACTCCAACAGGGAACTTGATTTTCGGCATTGTTTTTCTTTTAAAAATAATCATTGGTCTTAGTTTGGCGCCATCAGCTGTACATGCTAGTACCACTGTAAAACTGGACTTCTCATGTCCTGTTGTTTTAATTAACACTGTTTTTGCACCTTTTGGATTAACAGTTTTATTTCCAACCATATCAAAATTCATAGGAGTTTCATCCATATTTCCGATCTGACTTAACGCATAGCCATGTTTCTTGCGCTGTTGTAATACATATCGATGGAAAAGACTTACTTTGCCGT